TATAGATAAACCAAAGTTTTTTTTTTGAAAATTCGTACTATAAGTGTTGGGAAAATACTACATTTGGTACCATTTCGTATCATGTAAGGGGTTTGAGCTTAAAAAATTGAAATTCGGAATGGGAATCAAGATTGAGAAGTAGTAAGTATGTTAGGAGGTGGTTTTGGAAGTGTGTACTCATGTATACCAGAAGTACTAAACGGTACTAAAATTAGTACAATTTGAATTTGGGGGAACCGATAGAGCAAGAATCCTGAAAGGATTCTGGAAGAAGTAGTGCTAGAACTCTTAAATTTGGAATGAGTGTCACCGATGGAGGGTATGATAGATGAACCAAAGGGGTTTATGAAAATTTGCACTATAAGTGTAGGAAAAGTACTAAAATGTACTACATTTGGTACCATTCGTAGCATGTCAACTTTTAAAGCTAAAATCTTGAATTTCGGAATGGGAATCAAGGTTTAGGAGTGGAGTCGATGTGAGTAGGTAGTTTTGAAAATGTGTACTCATGTATACGAAAAGTACTAAACGGTATTAAATTTAGTACAATTTGAATTTGGAGGAACGGATGAAGCGGGAATCCTGAAAGGATTCTGGAAGCGGTAGAGCTAGAAGTCGTAAATGTGGAATGACTGATGGAGTGTATGATAGACGTACTAAAGGATCTTTGGAAGGGTGCATTATAGATGCACGAAAATTAATAAAATGTACTAATTTTGGTACCATTTCGTGTCATGTAAACGGTTAGAGCTTAAAACTTGAATTCCGGAATGGGAATCAAGGTTTAGGAGTACAGTCGATGTGAGTAGGTAGTTTTGAAAATGTGTACCCATGTATACGAGAAGTACTAAACGGTATTAAATTTAGTACAATTTGAATTTGGAGGTACGGAATCCTGGAATCCAGAAATTTGAAACTAACATTACTGGCGGAGTGTATGATTGGGATGCGGGGAAGTTTTCGAAATTTGTACTTATGTGCACGAAAAGTACTAAATGGTACTAAATTTGATGAAATTTAGTATTGGGAGAACCGATATAGCTGGAATTTTGAAATTTGGAAACAAGATAACTATTCTTCTAAGACTGAGGAAGACTTTGGAAATTCGTACTTATGTGTACTAAATGGTGTACTAAATTTGGTACAATTTAAATTTTGGTTGAACCGATAGAGGTGGAATTCTGAAATTTAGAAATAAGATTACCGTTGCACTCTAGGACTGAAGAATGTAGGTAGTTTTGGAAATTTGTACTTTTGTGTACTAAATGGTACTAAATTCGATAAATGTTTAATTTTGGGTGAACCGGTAGAGTTGGAATCCTGAAATTTTAATATAAAATTTCTATTGGACTGTATGATGCAGGTATTTATGAAAATTTGTACTTAAGTGTACTAAATGGTACTAAAATTTGGTACAATTTAAATTTTGAGTGAACCGGTGGAGTTGGAACACTGAAATTTGTAAATAAGATTTCTCTTCGGCTGTAGGTAGCTATGGAAAATTGTACTCAAGTGTACTAAATGGTACTAAATTTGGTAAAATTAAAATTTTAGGTGAGCCGGTAGAGTTGGAATCCTGAAATTTGAAAATATGATTTTTATTGGACGTTTCATGCAGGTATTTATGGAAATTTGTACTTAAGTTTACAAAATGGTACTAAATTTGGTACAATTTTGATTTGGGTGCACCAATAGAACTGGTATCCTGAAAATTGGAAAGACGATTACTGCCGGTGTGTAAGATTGGGATATGTAGGTTGTTTTGGAAATTTATACTTATATGTACTCATAAGAACTAAATAAAGTACAATTTGTATTTGGGCGTACCAGCAGCGGTGAAATCCTGGTATTGGGATTACCGTGAATTTGGGTATTTAGAATTTGGGTATTTAGGGAGCTTTGAAAATTCGAACTGATGTGTACTAAATGGTACAAAATTTGATACAAATTGGAATTGTGATGAACCAATGGAGCTGGAATTCGGAAATTTGGAATGAGTGTCACTGATGGAGTGCAGGATAGATGCACCAAAGGGTTATTGAAAATTTTAACTTTAAATTTAGTAAATTTTCTAAAATGTTACCAAGCTTTTAAAATGGTACCATTTGGTATTAGGTGAAGGGTTAAAGCTAAAAATGTAAAGTAAGTTTGATATGTGAAGGTGGTTTTGGAAATGTGTACTGAGTGTGCCAACTGTACTAAATAGTACCAAGTATGCAACAGTTTGGTTTAGGGTTAAGGGATGAAGCTTAAGATTTAAAATGTTGTTTTTGGCTCCCTGTTGGGGGTAGGCTTCTGACGAAGAGGTGGTTTTGAAAATACGCTCCTCGTGAGCTTGAAAAGTACTAAATAGTACTAAATTTTTTGTTCAATTTAGTTCTGGGTGCACAGATAGTTCTCTAAATCTGAAATTTGGTATCAGGCTTGCTGCTCATGTATTGCCTGGACCTATGGAGATGGTTTCTGATATGTCTACTATAATAGTACGAAAAGTACCAAATGGTACTAATTTTGTATTTGGTGAAGGGACAGAGATAAAATTCTGAAATTTGATAGTTAGATTACTGATTGTGTCCGTGTTTGAAATTTGGGTGTGGTTCGGAAATTCGTCCTATATTTGTACGAAAAGTACTAAATGGTACTAAATTTGGTATTGGGTGAAGGGATAGGTCTGGAAACTACAAATTTGGTATTTATACCTCCGTTATGGGATATGGTGGTGATTTTGGAAAGTGTGCGAACTGTACTATATGGTACTAAATTAAGAAAAGTTTGGTTCAGGGTGAACGAATGAAGCTAAGATTTTGAAATTTTGTATTGTAGTCCCTGTTGGTGGTAGGTTTGCAATGAAGAGGTGATTTTGGAAATTCGTACTCGTACGAAAAGTTCGGAAATGTATACTATAATTGTATGAAATGTACTAAATTGTACTAAATTTGGTATGAGGTGGTGGGATCGAGATTAAATTTTGAAATTTGATATTTAAATTACTGATTGTGTCTGTGTCTGAGATTTTGTGGTGATTTGGAAATGTGTCCTATATTTGTACGAAAAGTAACAAATGGTACTAAATTCTATATTGGGTGAAGGGATAGGGCTGGAAACCTCAAATTTGATATTGAGGTCTCCGTTGGTATCTGTAATTAAGATATGAAGGTGTTTTTGGAAATGTGTGCTAGAATTGTACAAAAAGTACTAAATAGTACATTAATTTCTATTTGGGTGAAGGAATAGAGCTGAAATCTTGAAATTGGGTATGGATGTCACAGTTGGCGTCCGTGGTTGAGATATGGTTCGGAAAGTACTAAATGGTACATTATTTCGTATTAGATGACGGAATAGGGCTGAATACTGAAATTTGATATTTGGCACTATGTTGGTATCTGAAATTGAGATATGAAGGTGGCTTTGGAAACATGTACAATATTTGTTCGAAAAATACTAAATAGTACTAAATTTGGTATTGGGCAAAGAATAAGAGCTGAAATCCTGAAATTTGATTTAGATGTCACTGTTGGTAACTGTGGCTAAGATATGCATGTGTTTTTGGTAATGTACTAAGTGGTACTAAATTCGGCATTGGTTGAATGGATAGAACTGGAATCCTAGAATTTTATATTGAGGTCTCAGTTGGTATTTGGTGTTAAGATCAGGTGGTGGGTTTGAAATTACGTACTAAAATTGTTCGAAAATACTAAATTTTTACAAATTTTGAAGCAATGTTGGTGTCCATGATGGAGAGATGTAGACTTTTTTGGATATGCGTACCAAATATTTTTAAATTTGGTATTGGGTGAAGACATAGAGCTGAAGTTCTGATTTCAAAATTTTATCAAACTGAACGAATTGTACATTTCGAGTACTTTCAAGGCCTAACTCTAAACTTTGGAACAAATCTTAAATTTTAGGGGGGACTTTTTGCTGATGAAGTACCAGGCACTTGTTAATACCTATAAAAAATTAATGTGCCAAAAATTGTACTAAAATTGTTCGAAAGTACTAAATTTTACTAATTTTGGAGCAATGTTGGTGTCCAGGATGGAGAGATGTAAACGGTTTTAGATATGCGTATTAAATGTTTCTAAATTTGGTATTGGGTGAAGGCATAGAGCTGAAATTCTGATATCAAATTTTTATCAAACTGAACGAATTGTACATTTTGAGTACATTCAAGGACTAATTCGAAACTTTGGAACAAATCTTAAACTTTAAGGTGGACTTTTCGCCGATGAAGTACCAGCCACTTGTTAGTACCTATAAAAAATTAAGGTGCCAAAAATTGTTGGTTGTGACTAAATGGGTCCTCCTTTTCCTACCGGACCATTAAAGGGCAACCAATTCAGTTCCCAAATTAATTTTTAGCTTTTATAACTTCCAAACTCTGGTCACCTCGGCCACCACTGCACCATGTCAAACATCAGCGATTGCCGATACAAATTCCATAATGCAAAACATATAATGACAATCAAACAAAACGGAACAAAAAGGAAATTGAAATATCAATATGGCAGAGTACAACAATTTAGTTGAGAAACATTCACGTCCGATAATGCTTTCCACGTTTTTTCGTTTTCTATTTTTAGCAACTCCCCATGACATCCCAATTCGAGATCTCTGCAGAACGTCTAAAAAAAATAAAACACAAATGGCCAACATTTTGTAAGGACATCATCGAAATGCTACGTTCCTTGGCCTATCCTGATTCAATATTCAAGTGTTGATATTGGAACAGTTAGATAAGGCTGGCGCGAATGGTGACGATGCTGATGATGGCTGGCTGCCTGGCTATGAATGTGCCGCAATGGCTATCATCGTTCATACTACAAGTTTGGAATAGCCTAAAGGGCTAGAAGACTACCCAAAGAAGAACTTATGTTTTACTAAATGTTATTGTTGTTGCGATGATTTTTTCCTCTTTTCTTTCGGCGTCATACTCCATGCCATTGTTATTGCATAGTTTTGTCAAAAAGTTATCATTTTTTTCGTTGTCTCTTCAACTTTTGCCACCGAATGGAGAAAAATTGGAAAATGTATAGAAAATGGATTCGTTAGCCGGAGAAGCTGCCTAGAAGTGACCAAGGAAAAAAAAATAAGAATAGAAAGCAAGACATAGTTGTTGAAAAAGAAAAATTGAAAAGCCATAGCAAAAATATTGCCACGGCATCGTGCCAACTGCTAGGCAAAACTATGAAAATGAATTTCCTGTGGATGTGCTTCAATTATTTTTAAGGAGTTTGTAATCGTTCGTAAAGGAATATCTATCAGGGTTTTTTTTTTTTTTTTTGAATCAATTTGTTGTTGCAGGTCTTTTTTATTCAACTTTCATTGTTCTGTAGAGCAGTGTCATGCAGGGGAGATTCTGAAGATAAATGCAATAGGATATTTTGTCATGGTTGAAATATCATTATTTGGGTGAGAAGAACATGAGGCATTCTATATGGGAACAACACTTACTCTTCTATAGAGGGAAACCTTTATTACTCCCATATGAAATGAAATTTGACTCCCTTCCTGAGAAGATCATACTGCTTCCATTAAAGCAGACCAATTGGCTTTAAATCCAACATTAATAATTTTTATACTCACAAAAATTCCAAATATTATTTAGCATGCTTACCTGCAAAGAAAAAAAAAATCATTAAAATCAATAACAATTAATTTAATACAAAGTTCTACATATAATATCAAAAAAAAAAAAATATAAAAATGAATTTTAAAACAAGTTAAAGTGTAGCCTTTGTAGGGAGGTACCAGAAGTAGAGGGCCGATATATCCCATCTTCACAACAGATCTTGTGTTAGTAGAAATAATAGATATTGAGTTTGTAAAAATATCAGGATGTGTGAAATGTGAAGACAATCGGATTCTTATTCGGATTCTTATTATTAGGATTTGCAAAGTTGGAGCAAAATCCGATTATCATTCCTCTTTCTGTGCTGGAAATATACTTTTTTGAAAATATCGACCTTTTGCGGGTGAAGTACCAGAAGGGGTGGACCGATATTGCCCATTTCCGAACTCGCTCTAAGTTTGACAAAAATATTACGATGTACTAAGTTTAGACCACATCGAATACACCCTTCGAGAGATATTGTGCGCACCACCCAGCCAGACTGAAAGACAAATGGACGGACGGACACACATCGCTAGATCGTTATTTCGTTGAGGCACGTTTTGACCGTATCAAATACCCTCTCTAGCCATATGGCTGAGGGTATAATAATTTTAAAATTAGGATTGTCTTGCATGGGAATCCCTCAATTCTCAACAAAGTCCTCCGGGAACACTTAAGTCCGTCATTTGTAGAGGAACATTTTTTACCATGCTCTCCTCCAGAAGACCATGAGGCCTTCTAGACAAGAAGACCATGAGGTCCTCTAGATTGAAAGACAATGAAGTTTTTTAGACCAGAAGACCATGAGGTCTTCTAGACGAGAAGACCATGAGGTCTCTTACGCGAAGAAGACCTTGCGGTCTTCTAGACCAGAAGACTTCTATACTCGAAGACCATGAGGTCTTCTATACTCGAAGACCATGAGGTCTTCTATACTCGAAGACCATGAGGTCTTCTATACTAGAAGACCATGAGGTCTTCTATACTAGAAACCTATTAGAAACCCATGAGGTCTTCTATACTAGAAAACCATGAGGTCTATACCATGAGGTTCTATACGAGAAGACCTTGAGGTCTTTTTCTATACGAGAAGACCTTGAGGTCTTCTTCTATACGAGAAGACCTTGAGGTCTTCTTCTATACTAGAAGACCTTGAGGTCTTCTTCTAAACGAGAAGACCTTGAGGTCTTCTTCTAAACGAGAAGACCTTGAGGTCTTCTTCTAAACGAGAAGACCTTGAGGTCTTCTTCTAAACGAGAAGACCTTGAGGTCTTCTTCTAAACGAGAAGACCTTGAGGTCTTCTTCTAAACGAGAAGACCTTGAGGTCTTCTTCTATACGAGAAGACCTTGAGGTCTTCTTCTATACGAGAAGACCTTGAGGTCTTCTTCTTACTACAAGACCATGAGGTCTTCTATACTAGAAGACCATGAGGTCTTCTATACTAGAAGACCATGAGGTCTTCTATACTAGAAGACCATGAGGTCTTCTATACTAGAAGACCATGAGGTCTTCTATACTAGAAGACTATGAGGTCTTCTATACTAGAAGACCATGAGGTCTGCTACACTAGAAGACCATGAGGTCTTCTAGACCAGAAGACCATGAGGTCTTCTAGACCAGAAGACCATGAGGTCTTCTAGACCAGAAGACCATGAGGTCTTCTTGACCAGAAGACCATGAGGTCTTCTAGACCAGAAGATCATGAGGTCTTCTAGACCAGAAGATCATGAGGTCTTCTAGACCAGAAGAACATGAGGTTTTCTATGGAAGAAGACCATGAGGTCTTCTATACGAAGACCTTCTATACGAAGACCTTGAGGTCTTCTGTACGAAGACGAAGAATATGAGAAGACATTCTGGTCTTCTATGAGAAGACCTTCTGGTCTTCTATGAGAAGACCTTGAGGTCTTCTATGAGAAGACCTTGAGGTCTTCTATAAGAAGAACTTCTGATATTCTGTGAAGAACTTCTGTTCTTCTGTGAGAAGACCTTCTGGTATTCTGTAAGAAGATCTTCTGGTCTTCTATGAGAAGTTCGTCTGGTCTTCTATGAGAAGACCTTGTGGTCTTATATTAGAAGACCTCCTGGTCTTCTATAAGTCGTTCTGGTCTTCTATGAGAAGACCTCCTGGTCTTCTAGAGAAAACCTACTGGTCTACTATGAGAAGACCTCCTGGTCTTCTATGAGAAGATCCTCCGCTCTTCTATGAGAAGACCCTCCGCTCTTCTATGAGAAGACCCTCCGCTCTTCTATGAGAAGACCCTCCGGTCTTCTATGAGAAGACCTCCTGATCTTCTTTGAGAAGATCTTCAGGTCTTTTATGAGAAAACCCTCCGGTCTTCTATGAGAAGACCTCCTGATCTTCTTTGAGAAGATCTTCAGGTCTTTTATGAGAAAACTTTCTGGTCTTCTATGAGAAGACTTTCTGGTCTTCTATGTGAAGACCTTCTTGTCTTCTATGAGAAGACCTGGTCTTCTATAGTAGATCGTTTGGTCTTCTGCAGGAAGACTCCTTAAGTTCTGGAAGACCTTAAGTTCGTCTGTAAGAAGAAAAACCTTCTGGTCCGTACAAAAAGCCTTCTTGCCTTCTGGGCTAGAGGAGCATTTGGACAAGAATGTCGTTTGATCTTTATACCGGCAGGTCTTTCTGTCCCCTACACAAGAAGTCCTTCTGATTTTCAACACAAAAAGACCTGGTCTGGTCTTCGATTATAAAATCTTCATGTGTTTTGGTTTGGTCATTTGGGATCCGCTTCTCTTTTTGGAGATATGTTTACTTTTACATACATGTATTACACAGGGTACTTATAGCATTCCTCTTTGCCGAAATTCGAGAGCAATTCATCAAATTGTTTTTCTCTACGTATTTTTCCTCCACGATGTGCACTTCAATTACCATATGACCCTTTCAGATAAGGAAAATTCATTCAAACATGAAAAAAATATTCAAGCGATTTCATGACTTCATGGTTACCATAGAGTTCCATACACCGAACAACTGCAGCAAGGGGTTAATTTTATTTTAATTAAAATTATTTAATTAAATTATTATTAATTTATGAAGATCTTTAAGAATAATCCCCCTTTTAAATTGAATACAAATTGAAATGAAATAAATCTCCCTTTGAAATATTAATTTCTTTTTTCTTTCTTTCTTTTTTTCTCCTAATTTCCCTACAGCATTTTTGTTTGACACCTAAGTGTTGTGCTTGGGCAAAAGTGTTCAACTCGAATACTTGGCAAAAATACTTATGGCATACTTTTGGGACAGCAAATGAATGACAGAAATTACATCAAGAAGCAGTAGCTGAAGAAGAAAAAGAAGTAGACGAGGACATACTTGTGGTATTCTAAACTCATCCCGTTTTTGCTTCTTCTTCGTCTTGGTTCAGTTCTTGGTCATTCATTGCTGTCATTTAAAACTGTCACCTTCACTGGATATTATAAACAATTGTAAACAAATGAAATAATTCTTGAGAAAATAAACCACAGCTTTGCATTGAAGTGAAGTCGTCAGGAAAAGCAAAAAAAAAAAAAAAAGGAAGAAAGAAAGCAACAACAAGGTTGTGGAAAGGAATTCTCCCTCTCTCTCTCTCTCTCCCTCGCTGTATTTTAATGCATTTATGTAATTTGTTGTACTTGAAAAGCCCAAGAGCAGTTACAGCTGGAATTACAACAAAGGCAACAAGAAAGCCAACAGGCAAATAAAACATTTTTAACAAATACTTTTCCAGGCATCAGAGATGCCAGTAAGAAAACCAAAAAAATAAACAGAAGCAGAAAAATACAAAGTGCTTATCAAGTACTTGGTTAAAACTTCAGCTTCAAGTTTGAAGTTAAGTTTGGAAGGGAGAGCAAAACAACGACGATAACGACGAACTGCAACTAAAGTCACAGCAACAACCACGTTGATAATGTTCCTGCTGCTGTTGATGTTGATGCTTAACTCTAAACTGTAAACGTAAAGTACTTCACGTTTCTGGTCAGACCAAGAAAGGCATACTTCATTTAACTCCACTTGAATGTTTGGTCAGTAAAAGAAAACATGGAAAATGGTTAGAGAAAAAAGGCAAAAACAACGGCAATCTTAACAAATGTGAAAAATTCTCAAAAAAAAAGAACATTTGCAAGGGAGCAAACAACGATAAGAAATGTAAAAATCTTTGCCAGTTGTTAAAGGGGCAAAAAGCGAAAATGAAAAATTTATTGGAATATATTTTTTAGCATTTTCATTATTCCAAAAATTTGTGGCATGAAAAATTTAAAGGAAATTTCAAGAAATGTATTTTAAATTTTTAGGAAAGCACTTTTAGTATTTGTGAGGATACAATTTTTAAGGGCTATATTATACAGGACAGAAATGCACATACCATCGTGATGAAGGGAAGAAGCGATAAGGGAAGATGAAGGGAAAGGTAGCGAGCAACAAGTTAGAAAGTATCATTCAGTCCTAAAAATAGTTATAATAAAGCAATGTCTCGATTTTTTAGCCTAGAAAGATTTTGAGGTACAGGGTGTTTTTTTAAGCTCGATAGAATTTGAAATTGTAAAAAATAACACAAAAAATTAAATTTTGATCAAAAATTTTTTTTATTCGAAAGATCAATACATGACATTAATATTTGAAAAGGTTCTTGTTCTTGACGAAGTGCATTCTGGACGTCCAATTTTTGGACACTTTTTCGAGAACTCCTGGCCGTATGTCACGAATAACACGAACAATGCTGGCCTCCCAGGCGTCAATTGTTGCTGGTTTATCAGCATAAATCAGTGACTTCAAGTAGCCCCACAGGAAATAACCGAGAGGTGTCAAATGGCACGACCTTGGAGGCCAATTGACAGGTCCACTTCTCGAAATCAACATATGACCAAATTTTGATTTCAATAAGTCGATGGTTGCGTTCGCCGTATGGCACGTAATGTCATCCTGTTGAAACCACATCTCCTCCGGATCAATGTAATCCGTATTTTTAAACAAAAAATCATTCATTGATCATGGTG